GCTCAAACGCCGAGAATGCCGCGTCGCTTTTTTTTTCATTTCGTTACCGCATTAGGTAGTATATTCGCTCCTCCACCAGGCACACTTGCGATGCCCATAGCACTTGCTGTCATGGAATTGTTGTGCGGCAGATAAGGCGTGCTGTACATCGGGTTCATAGAGGCAGTCGTAAAAGGTGGTTGCCAAGACTGCGTGGCAGCTGGGAAGTAATTGCAGTAGCAGTCGCCCGAGTGGACGGTCTCAGGTAGTGTAGTGGTGGGGGGCGAGTGTGTGGAAGATAGCTGCCGGGTCGATGGTAGAGACGGTGGGACGGAGGAGAATTTGTAAGGCGGCTGAGGGCTGGGCTGCGTGGAGGTGGACATGCGTGGAGACTTGGAGGGACCCTGACGGACACGCTTCGGGTCCGGTTCATCGGGGTGAGGGTGGGAGATTCGGTGAGTCTTCAGTGGTGGGGACGCTGAAGATGGCGATTTCGAGCTCGGAAGAGTGGGCGTTTTGAAGGTAGGTGTAGGGAATGCTGGTGCGCTATTGGAGCCGCCGCTTGGTCTCGTCCAACCGCCATATGAATTCAATTCGGCGGTGGGGATGTTATTGAAATCGAAGGACGCGAAAGGGTTATCCAAGCTCCGTTCTCTTTTCAGAGTGGAAGTAGGCTTGGGGGGGTCTGAGCCAGTCCTTCGAGCGACGTTGGTGGGAAGGCTCGTGGCCTTGCGGCCAGTGGCTCTCTCGCCGACAGGGAGGTCCTTCCGTTGCTGAAAATTTCTCGGACTGCGACCACGGACAATTATGGCTGCGGACCTTGCTTCGGCGATAACGACTCTGTTACCTGACGATAAGGTGGCCACGAGCTTCAAGCGAGCCACGAAGTGTTGCTGGAGTTCCTTCCGACGCCCATTGTTGGCTGTGGCTATCCGGAATTGAAGTCGCTTCCACGCAAAGGGGTATGTTGCGAATTCCACGTCCGGATCGTGAGTTGACATGAGGTCGAGTGGTATGACTGTGGGCTCCTTCTCTGTCTTTTCCTCGGGTGGGACGGGTGGACTGTTGATTGGTGTTTTCCACGGGACCGAGATCAGCTTCACGGTACCGCCCTCGACTGACTCTGTTGCCGAAATGGTGAGTTCCTGTGCCACTATTGGTATGCGCTCGTTGCGTTCCGTCAAGATGTAGCGCAAACTGCGAGGAAGAGTGATGGATCCCGTGACTTGGAATAGGTTGCGGCGGTAGCACGTGAGTTCTGGAGGAGTCATCTGAGGAAAGAGACCCGGGGCGTTTGGGGGATCCGCCATGAAAAACATGCCGTGTAAACGTGCATTGAGGGATAGGGATATCCTTCGGAGGGAGTGATCGAGCAGTGAGAAATGGTAGGTGATTGGTTGGAAGCTGAGCAGCTCATCATCCCGATCAATTGATGCGCTCTCTGGTGCGGATTGCTCATGTGTCTCTTGTTGTGCGGGCGAGTCATAGTGGAAGTCTGGGTAGACCGGATTGAAGGCGCGGTCGGCTTCGCTAGAGCTGAGAAGAGGAGGCATTTGGGATATGGAATGGATGCTGGAAATGATGAGATTGATTAGAATGATGGACTGTGCAACGTTCTGGATGGGACTCATACCTTCGGAAATCATCGGTGGAATAGGTGGGCGTTTGAAAGCTCTGCTCTGCGAGGCCCATTGCGGGTAGCGTGGTCAGGTAATCGTCGGTGGTGGTATTATTGTTAGGCGGAAGGTAAGGCATTGCCATGTGGTCGTAGCCGTTCATGATTGCTTGTAATATAGGAGTCGTAGTAAAGACAGAATATGCGCAAAGCGACAGCAGCAATGGAATATATGAATGAAAGTCAGATGAGAAAAGCAGAAGGAGAAGTACGATGAAGAAAATGAGGGGGAGTCTGAAGGGTATTGACGTCCTTTTCAGCTCAGCGGGGTGTCCGACATGGTATAAAACAATTGTGGAACATGCTTGACTTGAGCGATGTTTTGAAGAAAAGATGAAACAGAACACAGTGAGTGTGGGGATGTGCATCAGAGAAGAGGGAAAGTAGGTAGAAGAGAAAAAGAGAGTGGGAAGAGATGATGAGTGAGTGAGTAGAATGAGTGGGTAAGTGTGGTGTCGGGTGTACATGTTCCCACGTGAGATCTTCATAATAAGATCTTCAAATTCATGCATCTTCTGGAGCACATGGCGCAGGGATTGCCACGTTGTCTCCGGCGAGGAATGAGCCGAGTCTACCGATGATCCTTTTTTCAGACCACACTACGGTTGAGAAGTATCTGAAGCACGATGTAAGAAAAAAGGGAAAAAGGGAAAAAGGGAAAAAGGAAAAAAGGGCGCCGTCCTGTATCAGATTTCTGCTGCGGTGAGAAGAGGGAAAGGATTTTCCGAGCGTCATTCGTACCTGGAGCGAATGGAGGGGCATACTAAGGCTTGGCTAAGTGCCGCTAGTGGGGGCTGATCGCATCATCATGATCATAGGGCGCTGCTTATCGAACTCCGATAGGCCAAGGTGGGTAAGGCGTTGCTTACAATGCATGGGAATGATGGAAGGGGGCATGGATGATGCAGAATTAGCGTAGAAGATGACGGTGATCTCCTCCCGCAACGGGTAACGAGAGCGAAGTCGGTAAAGTAGAAAGAAGTTAAGAAGGTCAGCAGAAGCTTGGTTTGGCTACAGAAATCTCAGCCTTGGCTCCATTTACTTTTACTTACTTTAAACTTCCTACTCACTTTAAACTTCCTCCGCACTTTTTCCCTTTGTTTTTCTCCGCCGAAACAGCCGGTAAGATCGACAAGCGCCGGGATTCAAAAAGAAGGCACCATGCCACCAAGGGCCAACTTTTTGGGTCTTTCACTTAGTGATAAAGTATACCTACTATAGTCTGTTACAAAGGAAGTAGTTACTGAATGAAGATAAGTGTGAAACAAAATGTCTGCTTGTTTCAACTGAAATCCCTGCGGATTCGTCCCTGCTTTTCGGACCTCTTCCGTCCTTCTCCTTGGCCGGACAATAATACGAGTAATGAAATGATCTGCACAATTCTCACGCTGGAGCCACCTTCTGACCATGCTCCGATCGACGTGTTTCACATTCTCGCCTAAGAAAACAAAAGTGAGAAACTGAGAAAGACGCCATAACTTCAAAGGCAAGATCATCAATGTGCGCGCGTCAACAACACCAAATACATTATTATAATTCGCCAATCCTCCTCCTATCCACTGTCATGAACTCCGCGGGATCCAATCATCACAGCCTCGTCCGACATTTAGTCACAGAACCTGCAATCCGAGTCGAGGCAGATCCGCATATCCAGTCGTCGACGACCTTTTCAAACCCTCATGAAACACATGAGATTTCGCGGGTCTAGTAAATCAGGTACAACTATCGCTACATCCCTCAGAACAGACGCAGGTACGCGGCGTTGATCCCCCACGATGGAAAGTGCGGAGAGTTTGCAATCCAAGGGGACGCAGGTACACGGCGAGCACCACCTGCAGAATGCTGATTCACGCCGCCACCAGGCCAATGAGCTGATCGTTTCTTCTCTCACACTTCCTCATTTTCTTTATATCTAAATTTGTCTTGTCCCTGATCTATTTTTGACTGCTCTCCTTTCCCACTCGGACATGCCTCAATCTTTGGCAACGCAGCCACTCGCCTGCGCATGGTGAGAGTAAATGGGTTCGGCCTCCAGTCCCTCATGAGGTCTCCTTGAGCCTCATACCATGGTGGTGCGCGGAGGGGAGTCAGCGATCACTCGATCCAGAACCATGGTGATCCTGTTGCTTGCGGCTCAAAAATAGACACATCGGTGCCTGCTCTCTTGTCACCTGGAGTCAGCATTCTTGATAAGCTGATGCAATTCGTATTACCCCCACTGTGATTTCAAATTATTTCCACTATCATTAATAGGGTTGACAAACTTTTCCTTTATCGGTTCTGTAAACTCGGAGATAGTTGACGCGACTTGCTGTACTCGTACAGTGGCTACCTTGCTAGGAATCCGCTCGATCTTCGCCTTTGTTCTTGTTTCGTCAATGCCATCACATCAACACGCAGCATGAAAAATCCCATCTAAAGCACATCATCGCATCCAGACCAATGCTGTGTTAGATACCGGAACTGCTGACTCTGACGAATATACGGACGAAGCTTTTGTTTGGTGAGTTTTGTCTTGCCCCGCAGAGTGTCTGCTACGCTCGATGTACTTCGCCAAAGCGCCCCCCCCCCCGGGCCCACTAACCAAGAAAAAAAAAGAAAAACAAAATGCAACTCCGTCCCTCAAAACCTGTAGTTCCATATGAGCTCTATGCAGCATTCCGACAAAAAGAAATTTCTCCTCTCCGCCAAAAAAAATGGAAGATGCGACCCGGCATTGGCTTTTGCCGTGCACACCATACAGGAGAGAGTCACGGAAGCGAGAAGCCTAGCTAGCTACATCCACTGCCCGCCAGGTACGCTCCCCTTCCCCAAATCCCAGACAGCGCCAACCCCGTCGCGTTTCCGAATCCGATCAGACGCGATTGATACATTCCGACTCGGCTGGGTTCAAGGGATCAACAACGAAGTTCCATCAACCTACGAGTGATCCGATGGCTGCATATGCTCACGGGGGTAGTGAAGGTGGAGGTGTGGAGGTGGAGACTTGGGGGCTTTGATCGATGGGTTGATGGTTCACACGAGTGCCTGGCGATGCAGGAACGGATAATACCGTCGAAGACGATGGCATCACGGAAAGGCTTGACGAGGTCGGTTTTACTGGAAGGGATGGATTCTTGCATCGATTCTCTTTAGCTTATAGTACACTCGGGGTTACCTGGAGCCACAGGCGCATGGGTACTTGTACCTAGAGTGCAAGATGCAAGGAAGGAATTTGGCAAGGTCATGGGATGAAACCAGTACGATCCGGACTCTTGTCCAATCGCCGTGCGCCAGCGCTGTTCCGATCCTCTGTCTAGCTTTCACCAGGTATTGTCCTCCATAACGCCCGTTGCAAGCATTGCGTTCAATGACCTCCTCCAAATCCTACGCTACCAGCGCTCTCGCCCACATGGACGGCATCCTCATCCTCCTCAATGCCTCTGCCGCGCCCTCCTGCACCAGCTGTTGGTGGGATGCTGGCATTCGTGCTCACAGATCCACTCCTTGTTACGCCAGTTCCTGATTGTCGACGACCGCTAAGGCTCCTTTCTAATTCCTGTATGCGCCTTCGCAAAGCTTCGTTCTCGCGCTTCACTATGTCGAGCTCTGTTCGATGATGAGCGGCTTCTTCGTACCGTTGCGTCGACGGTACGCGTGTATTTCCTTGATTCATGGTCTGCTGAGACGAGGATGAAGTTTGATTATACGATGCTGAGCCAGAGTGTCGATGTGGATGGAGGTTGGGGAAGTGATCACCTTGGTATAGTGAGGAAGACAAAGAGGGCGAGGAGGCTTCGGATCGCCGCGACGCGACCGAGCTTTGCCTGCTAAGAGGGTCTCGAGCATATGAGTATGGGGCTGTGGCGTCTCGCGCGGGTGCGATGCCTGATACTGTGCTTCCGGCTACCCCTGCTGTCGTGCCAACGGTGCTTCCACTTGTCCCAGTAATGCCAGTAGCTGTAGTCGCAGCTGTGTTTGAACTTCGAGCGCTCAGATTGGAGGATGATCGATGCCGCCGTGAGGGAGTAGGGTGACTGGGCCCTGAGATTAGATGGTTTGCGTTCTGATCTGTAGCATCTGGTAGGCCAGTAGAAACGGAGGAGGTCGTCGATGCCACTGAAGCAGACTGCTGGCGTAGAAGAGAGAGTTCGCGCGTGAGGCGGTTGACCTGAAATGAAAGACTCTTAATCAGCGGAGTTATTCCAACCAGTAAACCATCCCCAGCTTACCACTGCCTCTTGTTCCTTCTCAAGTTGCATATGAAGGTCTGCAGCGGTGAGAGGTCTGGGATGACGAAGAGGCCCTGGTAATCATCGAGTTAGCTGGTCGATCAGTTGTAAGCGGAGTTGTAGGATATCTGCTTTCATACCGGGTCCAATGCCTACTCCAGTGTTGTCTCCAGAAGTCATGTTTGCGAGAGGCTCCCTTGACAGAATGGTGGGTGACTGGGCAGGAGGTGAAATGGGAGCGGGGGGAGGTGCCATGGTCTCTCTAGCTCGTCGAGAGGATGTAGAGGCTATACTTCGAGGGCTGTAGGGTGAAGGAGGCAGAGAATTGAGATCGGGAGCCATATTCCCTAGGTATTGAGATATATGTGGATGTTTGTTCCGTTTCTGGCAGCGCCAACTTAAGGGGCCATGGGTACACTCGTAGACTCACTAGGAAGCAGTAGCACGCGTCTTGAGTCTAATGCTCCAGTACGATGGAGTGCTAAGTGGGGTGATTGATATCTATCGATAAGAGACTTGTGTCTTCTTGGTGGAGATATGTGTCTTCGAAGTATTCACTCTGCAATCGGCATTTGAACATGGTGCAGCAATTGGTTGCGTTGCAGTGCGTGGATTTGGTCAGCGGAGGAGGCAGGATGATGCCATGCTTTCCGTAAGCTTGACTTCAACAACACCATACCATCTCCGCCAAACACCGTAGTATATTGCATCGTATCGCTGCAAACATAACCTCAATCAGCCCCTCATTCCATCAAGACATCACGCGCTATATAACTTCTTATCTTTCGTCATACCGAATACACCCTGCCGTTCCAGACCCTGGTCAAAGCATGCTGACTCCTCATTGCTATTGCCCTCAACGACAATGCAGTGCATAGAGCACTTTGAATCATTTCGACATCAATGATCATTGTGGCTGTACTTGGAAGGCGGCCTCTTGATATCCGGAACAGCTGTCCACAATCAGAGGCTTCTCCGGCCTCTCACAACGACTCTCAACCAGCTGGGGCAGCAGACGAATAAACATGGGCAATTCGGCTACCAAAGAGCAAAGGCCTCATCCTGCACGCCAACGGTCAGCTGATGCCCGATCAGTCTCCTCTCCCGCCGGCTCTGGCCCAAGCTCACCATCTTATCCGCCCTCTTTAGAACGGCCTTCACATCCGGTTTACAATGTGCGGACGGGTAGGGGCAGTCGACCTGACCTGTCAACATTGCTTGGAATGAGAGGCAATGCAGTCTCTGACACTTCCAGTCTGGAGACTCGCAGAGAGACCAAGCAAGAGAGGGAGGCAAGAAAGTTGGAGAAAGAGAGGGTGGCGAGGGAGAAGGAGCGTGAACGGAGCATGCGTGAAGAGAGTGTTGATGGAGGCTATCTTGTCACCCAGGGTGTCTACACAGGAATAGAGGACTACACTAAGGGTGTCGTACGGCAACTGATGGTAGGGTACCCAGTGGATTCCAAGGGGCATGAGTGCTAATGGAGATCAGATTGAACGACGAATAGCACCATTTTGGAGGGGTTTGAATGATCACTCTGACTCATGGACAGAGAATCAGCTCGTTGCTGCTGCCAGAGGACGACCCATCCCTGCCCCGGATGAAATACCAGTTGAAGAAGAGCCTAAGCCGATGTCCAAGGCTGAATCGGAAACAAAGTCGTCGGACACGAACATTAACAATTTGACTGTGCCAATAACTTCGAGATCTCAGTCACTCAACTCAGACACGTCCTCGACCCTTTCACCATCCCAACCCTCATTTTCGCCGGGAGTTTTGAACGCGCCTCAACCTTCGCCATCTTCCGGATCCACATTGTTCAGAGGCCGTGCAAAAACATTGGCGGCTCTCACGACCGCCCCGAAGAACTCTCAAGCCGATATGACGCCTCGTGAAATAAACCTGCCAAGAGATCCCTACGTTGCTGGTCAGCCTCTCGAAGCGTACATGTATAAAGACGCTTCTGAATGCCCAATCTGCTTTCTATACTATCCTCCGTACCTGAACAAGACTCGATGCTGCGATCAGGCCATTTGCTCCGAATGCTTCGTACAGATCAAACGTCCAGATCCCCATCCTCCAGAACACGCAGATCCGACGGCTCCGCAACCCACGCTAGCTGAAAATGCCAATGCAGAAGTGGTCAATCCCGAGGAATTGATATCTGAACCAGCTGCTTGTCCATTCTGCGTTCAGCCTGAATTTGGTGTCACCTATCTTTCGCCGCCTTTCCGTAGAGGACTGTCATACGTCAATCAAGCGTCAAACCATCCTTTGGCCAACAGATCTTCCGCCATGTCCTCCGAATCTTCACTGGGTTCAGTCTTGAGTAACGGAGGACGTATGTCGCCAACGAACGCTACACGTCGGAGAACGACATCAGTCTCCGCTACCTCTCCCTCCGTCATCACAACCGATAGGGTACGCCCAGACTGGCATCAGAAGCTGGCTGCGGCTAGAGCTCATACGGCTCGGCGATCTGCAGCTGCCACAGCTCTACATACTGCTGCTTATTTGATGGGCAATCGTGGTCAAGAAAATGATGGTCGAGCTCCGGGTCCTTTTGGCAGGCGTGGCATCCTGCGACGGACCAGTGGCGCGGACAATCCTGGGACCAGCTCTGCGCACTTGAATATGTTGGCACTGATGTCTGAGCGCTATGCAGCATCAGGCGCTGCCAGAGACGATGAAGGCGAACCGTCAATGACGCCCGGGCCTCGTGGAAGCTCCAGAAGAAACAGAATGGAAGATTTGGAAGAAATGATGATGATGGAAGCTATACGGCTGAGTCTTGCATCAGAGGAGGATAGACGGAAAAGGGAAGACAAAGATGCCCAAAAGAAGGCCAAAAAGAAGGATAAGGAAGACAAGAAGGCCGAAAAGAAGGCCAGAAAGACGGGTGTGTATCCGAGCAGCGCCAATGCGAGCGCTGCAGGGCTTGGAGGCAGTTCCAGCGAGGTTTTCGTTGGCGGGACGGAGTCCTCCCCGTACTCTGGAAAAGGAAAGGGCGTCCAGCAGACAGAGTCTGAGCAACCAAATGCACGAGCTATGAATGCTATGTCTTCGTCCACGGCGGCAGATCCTCAGGAACATCTTGAGCGCGCTCGGGCGCAGATACTTCCCAGCGATGCTCCACCTTTCTCCTCTCCTTACTCTTCATCACCATACCGACCATCGCATCTACGAACTCTCTCAAATGCCTCATCCTCAACCTCATCTATTGATGGTTCTGCTCCTGGGTCCTTGAAAAGTGACATCAAGGGACAAGGATCCTCATTTGATGTCTCACCCAGCGCAAGTGGTGTCAATATACCTTCCGCGGCTTCGGCCCAAGACACTTACATCTCAGGCACGCCTCCTGGTGGTGGAGCAGGCATGGAGCCCATGTTCAACTTTCGTAGCCTCGCTGCAATGGTTGGAGAAGAAAAATCAAAGGATGTCATGCATGAGGAAAATCCTGGCCAGGCCTATGGTCGGCCGAGAGGAGAAAGCTCCAGCAGTATGACTGATAGGGTCGACCAAGAGGAAGGAACCTCAACGGAGATACACGATGAATCTGGCTCGCAATCAACGGGACCATTTCAACCCCCCATACTTGGCGAGGGACTACCTGCCTTCAAGCTTACAGCCGCTTCTCGGGGCAATTCCGACTTCGACAAGGCAGGCCAGCAAGTCGAATACGCAGAACTTAATGATGCAGCTGTGGTACAGGAACGATCCCAGACCTCAACATGAGATAAAAGAGCAACAATATGGCATGGATGCAAGAAACCTGGGCTGTACCTGTAAAAAGTGACATATAAGAGGGCGCAAAGGATGCAGCTAGAAGGCATTGTATTATTGGGTAAATGTCACAACATCAACGACAGCGGGAAGTAGTTTCTCAATGCGCGCGGCAACACATACTCGTAGGCGACATGCTCTCATCTATGCGAAATTCGCGACAAAGGAGGCGCCAAACTACACGTTCGTCGTTCACACTTCTCCCTTGTTCCAATCATTGTCTCTTGAGATGGGATTCCTATGTGCAGCTTGGATCGTCGTCCATTTCTGTACAGTTACTCTTGCAGAACCACCTCTCAGTCCACTCACTCTATCATTACTCAACGGTCTCAACGTCAACGTCAACCTTACGGCTCCATCCAGTCTAACACAGCTCTTTTCTTCAAAGTAGGTCGTCCTTTGTTCGTCAAGACAACAAGCCAGGAAACGCCGGGCAAAGATGATGACATCAGTAGCCGCCTCCCCCAAGATCCCTTGCTCTACCCCGTCCCCAACTCTGACGAAACCGTCTGCTTCTACGGCTACGGCACCCCCCTACGCCGGAGAGACGTGCTCTATGTTTTCGTCAAAGCCACTCGCGAAGTCGCAGCGCATGGGAGCTCGAACGAACCTATACCCGACAGGATGATCCGATACGGGTCGGGTAACGCGTTTATACTGTTGCATCACAGCGGTAGAATGACGTGGAAGGTGTGGGAGATGGCGTTGCAGGGCATTGCAGATTTCGTGGAAAGGTATGAATATGTTGATATGGATTTTGATGTTGGGAAGACGGGATCGGAACGGTTTTTTGGGACGGGGGTATTGGGGATGCAGAAGAGGGAGGGGATTAATGCTAGTGATTGACCGGCCGCCGTAAAGGATGATTTTTCGAAGGTCTAGCATCTTGTTGATTTGATCAAGAGCTCCAAAAGATGTGATATGCCTGTCCTCTGTGGAGTATCGTTGTCCTGTCAGAACCACCCTTGGACCCTTTGCCACTGCCCCAGCCCAGAAAATGACGTGGGGCAACGTCCACTTCTGCAACATTCCATTCTCCCCAAAACCCACTTCTTCTGCCCCAAACTCCTCTCAACTCTTTCAAATTATACACTCCTATCTTCAAACCTACTTAACAAGCAAATCACAAACATATCATGTCGTCCACTGTCGTCCATGTACGCACTTTCCGATTGCTCTGGGAGCTCTAGGCGCTAACTTGCTGGATCTAGGTCAAGAACATTGCCCACAACACGAGCGAGAAAGAAGTGAGAGACTTCTTCAGCTTTTGGTGAGCTAAACGTCTCTATCACAAGCTTGCCACATGCTGACAGCTAGCAGCGGAAAGATCACATCCCTCTCTGTGACCCCTGCGTCCGAAGCCGAAAACAGCCCGCAGAGCGCAACAGTCACCTTCGAGAAAGAGACGTAAAGATACATGTAGAGTCAAGCCGGCTGCTTCCCCTAGCTGATCTTTCCCTAGAGCCGCAAAGACAGCGCTTCTCCTCGACAATACCCAACTCGGCAGCTCCCAAGTCCAAGTCTCAAGCGCCGCCGGCATCAGTGAGCTAGCAGGCACTAACACCGAAGATGCCTCCCGCGACGAGCACGACATTTCGCAAGAGGACAAGCCGCGCTCGCGCATCGTTGCCGAATACCTCGCCCACGGCTACGTGATCAGCGATACCGCGATCCAACGTGCCATTGCCCTCGACAACAAGCACGGTGTCTCCAATCGCTTCACCAACGCTCTTACACAATTCGACGCAAAATACAAGGCGACTGATCGCGCCAAGGGTCTTGACCAGAGCTACGGCATCACTGATAAAGCGACTGCGGGATGGAGGGGCATCAACTCATACTTCGAGAAAGCGATGGGCACGCCTACTGGTCAGAAACTGGCAAGCTTCTACACGCAGAGTGACAAGCAGGTTCGAGACATCCACGCCGAGGCACGGCGCTTGGCGGATTTGAAGAGTGGAAAGGGCGGTGGTAGTATGGAGCAGAACGAGAAGACAATGGAGCATGTTCCTGGGACTGAGAAGACGACTTGTCAGTGTGGAGGCGATACTGGCACATGCCCTTGTGCCGAGGGCAAGTGCGCGTGCAGTGGGTGTTCGAAGGCGGGGATCCATGGGGAAAAGACTGCTACCGGACCGGCTGATGTTGTAGCGGACACTTCAGGTGTGCAGCCATTGGGAGAGAAGACTATTTGAGCGGCGGAGAGCACGGATGATTCTTTTGATGACATGATGGCTGAGCAAGCGTGATACTCCATCAGCAGTAGGAAAGGATTGCCCGAGCAAGAATAGCATAGGTATCACTGAGACAGATATCCCATATATGTGCGCAAATGCAGCACTGTCATCTCGATTTGAAACAAATTTGCGCTAAACGTATTCAGCCTAGCGCCATGTAGAACTCCTTGGCTTTGCTTGCAACCTCTCAACAGTCTTCAACCGTTACCGATTGAGTCAACATTAACACCATCAGTATGACTTCTGCCGGCCGCATTAGCCTTGCAGCCCGTCTTGCATTACCTCAATCAAGTTACGTCTGCCTACACTGTCGGCTCCGAGCATCAACCGCTGTAAGAAAGACTAACTCATCAACCACCCTACCCTACGCTTCCAGCAGACACGCCAGCTGGCTCACCACTGAAAAGTTACGAAAAAAGATATGGGGCTCAGAGACACCGCCAGGTCAGGACGATCCGTACGGGAAAGAGAGTGTTTTTGATCAGAGAAGAAGGGAGAAGGAGCAAGCGAGGGAAAAGGGCAGGGAGCTTGAACCGGCACCTGAGCAGGAGGTGGAACAGCCCGAAGATGAAGATGAATATTTCGAAGCGGATACAGCTGAAGGCCTAGAGATGGTGGGTGGGCCTGGTTGGGGGACAAGGCAATGGGAGGTGGCGAACCCATTTAAAGGGTTTAGTCAACTCTACTGCAAGCATTGCAACGTTTACTAATTCCCATGATCTAGTTTCATTCGTCCCAAGAGAACAGAGGGTCGAAATGATACAATCCTCGCAGTTCATCGCGCCTTGGTGGAGACCTACGCCTTGAAAGAAGCTGGACTACCATTGGTAATGGATTACTCTTCAGCAGACCCTACGGAAGATTATGCCACACGTGTTGCGGGGGGCGCAAAATTCGAGCAGGACGCAAGCGGACGGCTGGCTTTGGTGCTTGAGAGTGAGGAGCTGCGACAGTCCATATTGGAATGCGTCACACCAAAAGATCGCTCGAGCGACAATATCGCGATGCAAGACGCAGACATCGAAGAAGAGGAAGTTACAGACGAAATTACAGATGAACTCGCAGAGGAGGAGATGGAGTCCAATGACGCCGAAGAAAGGCCGTCGCAGATTGTCAAGGGAGATGACGAAATCAATTTGGAATTGGAAGGCTCTGAACTACCAATTCCGGACGAAGAGTCCTTCGATCCTGCAAGATCAGCAGATCCTGCACCCTTCATGCCAGCGAGCGATACTTGGCGCGATGTCTCAATGGAAGATGCAGCATTGAAATTTGCAGTGAGCGGCCCGTGATCTACACTGCATGCCTGCCAACCTTGCTGATCCTTTTTTTTTCAGGTCCTCAAGAGGGTGATGCAATTGACCGGAAGGCGCATTCCAGACCCCGACATCTCAGCCATCAGCACACCAAAATCATTACTCGTCCACCTAGTGAAAAAGCCCAAACCAAAAAGGACTGCGGAAGCCCTTCGGAAGTCGAATCAAGTTGCAGAACTTCCGAACGTGCAAATCCTTAATAGAAGATATGGTTTGATCGACCGAGAAATCGAGGTGGGGAGGTGGAAGGTGATCAAAGAGGAGCTGGAGAAGAGAGGCTTGCCTGTTACTGGCTGAGCTAATGTTTGTAATGTTGTGAGCCTGAAGGACGGGGGAGCAAGAAGAAGAACAATAAGCACAACGCGGAAAGATCATAATGCAGCACGCTACTAGCACTCAGCACAACGAACACAGCAGGTATTGTCATACCTCGCTTGCTTTCCTTACTAAAGATGGGACAATGCACACCACGCGGGGCGGGATTGATGGTTGCATGTTACTCAGCCCTGATGGAATGGTTGCACGGTAAATGCTAAGTCCTTTAAGGCAAGGTCCCTCCCTTCCCGCGGGCTAATTGCGCCCTTGGCCTCAGGGATGATTTTGATTGGACTCGGATGCCAAGCAATACGGCAGTGCTACCAGGGGAGCTGTTTGAATCCACTGATGGTTCATGCATTCGAAACGTGGGTACACCATATTTCACACCATATTCACCCATATACGGAAAAGTCTTTCAATGCTTATTCTATAATTCTCCTCGCTTGGTGAAAGTCAGAATACCGATATAAAGTATTAGATTGGCGTCTAGATGCCTGTGGCTTTCTTACGCTTGCTTCTTCATGACCGCTGCACCCTTCTCCGCGTGCTGCGGTCGTCGCGCTCTATCTCTTTTCTTTGCCGCATAGCCAATTGTTTCTTTCCTTGCAACAGTATAACTTTGAGCTTTCTCTTCCTGAATCCTTCGCTTGCTTTGGGAATTGTGTTTGTATAGCTGCACAGTGCCATAGTACATCATCAACCCTTGGTGTGCTCTCTTCTTCTTTACATATCTCTGTACCACAGACACGTTGTCCTTCATCTGTTCATATCCACCAAAACTTCTTCTCTCTTACATACAAGATGAACGACCTATTCCTCATCCTCCTCTTCTGCAGTCTTGCCCACTCGTCGCGAATCACACAGCCAAAGTCCCAATCACAACAGCAATCAGCAATCTCGGGCCCATCATCATCATCATCATCATCATCATCATCAGCAACCTGCCTGCACGACCAGTCATCCGAATTCTCCGTAACAGCCTACCCAGGCAGCTCCTGCGCCGCCGACGTCCTGAACCTGATCGAGCTCCCCCCCAAAACACCCTACCCACTCTCCTGCCCCTCGACGCCACGAAACACCAAATGCTTCCCCATCACCGAGACGATCTCCACGGCACCGGACCCCGCCCACGCGCCACCCAAATGGCAAGACCTTTCCGAACAAAGCGCCCTCTCGGAATGGCAGAGGTTGGAACTACGCAGCAGGACATCACCGTCGTCGCGTCGTCGGCGCTCGCTGTCATCGTCTTCGCCGACGACCATCAGTTACAAAGCCAGGAGCGTGAGTCTAGTCTGGCCGGACGAAATGACCCACGTCGTGTTTTACGTCGACGACGGGTGCGAGTACCTGGATGGTTGGAGGCAGGGGGGGTTGGCGCATGTGGAGAGGGGGGACGGCGTGAGGGAGCAGTGTGTGATGATCGGGGAACGAGGGGGTTGGGGCAGTGTGGAGTTTATGAGGGAGGAGGAGTGGGAGAGGTGGAGCGACGGGAATGCGTGAAGGCGGGTTGAAGATGTTGACGGGTGGATGGATGGATGGGTTGATGTATATGATGGAGATGATGTACCGATGCTAAGTGCTACGATGCTCTGTAATGATAATATGATCGAGATATACATAATATATTAGTAATGGCGTTTTGATGGGGACGTCGTTCTCTGCTCGCAACGTGCACGATCCGATCAGTGTGGAGTTTGGGTCACCGCCGCGATCGTTTCCTCGCAAGCAACCAGAAACCCGCCACTACCGGCTCAGTCCAGACGCGACAATCGTGAATCCACCCCTGCCCTGGCGACCCCCCAAACCGCGCCACTCCGACCCCCACCCCCGGCATGGAATGTCCAAGACACCGAGATCAATGCAGAAAAATGAATAAACAAACAACAACAAATGTACATAGCTAGGTAGATGAGATGAGATGAAACTCAAATTCTACACGCTGTGACTCGTAAGATGTGATGAACTAGAACCAAGC